TGTGTTTTTGGCCAGATGGTTAATGAAGATTTGGTGTGTGACCATTTAACCAAACTCATTTCACCAACGGATATTTTGACTGACTGGACATTATAGCCGAACGGACAAATGGCTGCCCTGGCATTCAACTGATGAGAAAAGTGCGTCATAGTAAACTGGTATATAGTAGTTTCTTTCTATGTAATTATAAAAATCCTTCGACTATAAAGGTATATTGCTTTCGTTACCGTAACGCGAACAGCAGTTCGACAGACATGACTTACCCCAAAGTTAGTACCGACACCAGCAGGGCCTCCAAGAGATTTTGCAAGGCGGTACAAGACCCTCTGGGGCCACGAGGCAGGCAAAGATTTTCCTCAAAATTGAGTATTTGATGTTTAGTAAATAAAACATTTACGCTAACTCTTAAGTATTTTATTTCCATCATCATATATAACACACCATAACAAACATAGTCAATTAATGCAGCAACATAAAACAGTATTTACGGCTGCATTCACCAATCGCCTTTGGGTTTTTCATAGTGAAATGTCTTCTAACGTTCAAGATTATTTATTTCAAAGGGAAATACTCTTCATAAAAATAACTAAATGGAGTACTGCTAGTATTTTTTATTTCACTATCATTTTTTTTTTTACAAGATTTCTAGTATCATTGCATTTCCTCTATAAATAGGCTCTGCAGGGTGTTGATGTGCTAAAGCATTTCCTTTCTTTTGCTGGCTCACTTTCAGATCTTATGGGATATTTCCATAAAACGCAAATGTAGTGTGATGGTGTGACAAGTAGAACGATGTATGTATACGTGAATGTAAGGGAATGTAAATGCATGTCGGGATGGGAGATGTTGAAAATACTGGTTTGGTTGCTTGTTGCAGGATTAGTGTAGGTCCTTCTTAGCTTTTGGGCCCCGTAACAAAAGCAACGACTGGACCCCCTCCCATGACCGACAGTGTGTAATACAATATAAATCAAATTGTTTTTATTTGTTCTGCTTAATTTCCAAGTCATTTATCTATCATTCGTGATACAGGCGACACAGTTGTATAGAGTAGTACACCTTTATATTCCAGTATCCAAAGAAAACGACATTACATCGTACCGTAGAAACTTCAATTTACAGGGGTGACTACGTTTTTTTCCAATCAGAAAGACATAGCTAGCAAGATATAATGATGAATTCAAGGACCAATATCCGGACAAGAAATTACAAATATGCATTTACAAGCCATATATCGTTGCATGGTTAGGTCCTAATAATTCATTTTAGTTTATAGTTACTAACATCGATAATTATTCCTTTGAACTTGCGTCTTTATTTGTATTGTCCTTGATCATCTTCGTGGCTTTTATTTACTCACTAAAGATAAATAATAATAAACAAGCAAGCAGTTTATTATTATTTTGTCCTTACAGATACATAGCTGCTTGCTATTTTTTCAAGCATTTCCCTTCCTCGATTTTCTCTTGGGTTTCCTAATAAAAATATGTATACATGAAAAGGATCTTATGGCCATTGGACCACTTTTTCATGCTATGATTCCCAGTAAATTGTTAAATTCGGCTGAATTATCTGTTTAATCACTTTCCATTAAAAGAAGTTTCTACATCTGTATAAATTTGTTGCCATCACAATTAAATATGTATAACAAAGTTGTTCACAGAAACCAAACCATGTTGGTCTAAAGAAGGTAATGTCCCCCAAATTTATGAACCATGCACTTTTAGGGTTCCATTTTATATTCAGAACAGGTTTGCTATTTTGCATATATATATGTATATGTATATGTCTATATATATGTATATGTATATGTCTATATATGTGTATGTGTATATGTATATATGTATGAATGATGAAAACAGTTTTTACATTATGGTTTTTTCTTCTATGTATATATGTATATATGTATGTATGTATGTATGTATGTATGTATGTATGTATGTATGTATGTATGTATGTATGTATGTATGTATGTATGTATGTATGTATGTATGTATGTATGTATGTATGTATGTATGTATGTATGTATGTATGTGTATATGTGTATATGTGTATATGTGTATATGTGTATATGTGTATATGTGTATATGTGTATATGTGTATATGTGTATATGTGTATATGTGTGTGTATATATATATATATATATATATATATATATATATATATATATATATATATATATATATATATATATATATATAAAAATTTCATGTCCCTTCTTTAATTACGAGTGTATTTGAGACTTTAACCAAATTTGTTATTAAACCATAGTTTATGACAGATTTTTTTTTTTTTTTAGATTGCTGTACTTTACAAATAAATATTTCCTGATGATATTGCAGGTATTCTTTATGGGGGCAGTGTGTACAGCTTAGCTCTGAACATTTTTGTCATTCAGTTACCATCGTGTAGCTCTTATAATCAAAATGACTGTTCACAGCCTTCAAATCTAAAGAGAAAACAAAAAAATGTGTGATGACCACCACACAGATTAACAAGATGAAATTTTAAAAATAAAACTTAAATTATTGGTTTCAATAAAGACAAATCGCATAGTAAAAAGGAATTGGGTTGATGGGCTTTCTTTTGAACCAAGTGCTAATTAACATCAAGCTCTTGTATTTCCATTTTTATAAACAACTGGTTTCAAAAAATTACTTCCACTATTTCCAATTCCTGTAAACACTGCAGCAAAATACACTTTTTATATCATACATTGGGAATTTACAAACTCTAAAACCTAGAGATATTTATTTGGTCTAGTTGGAGACTAGTATACATCCATTTTTCTAATTAATTTTATGTGCAAAATTCCTAAGATTCAATGATATTCAAAGTTTATGCACTCATTATTTCTCCTTCATGAGAATAAGTAATCAGTATAAAAACTTCATGTAAGGTCTATAAGAAAAAGCCTATTTTATCCTCAGATTGTAATTTACAAGAAAAAATCAAAGGAAAAGCCAAGTAATAAGGTTTTTCAACATTTTTTGTTTTGCGTATAAGCATAAATACAGTCCAGTAAAATACTCTTGAATGTACTTCAACTTAAAGAAATCATATATTAGGGAAAATAAAATAAAAAAAATATTTGCATGGATTACTTTATTCATTACATTATTCAATATAAATACATGCAAAAAGCTGCTATGATCACTAAACTATATTTGCACATACAAGAAAAAAAAGGATAAAACAGTCTTTAATTATATGCTACTCTCTATTTCAGGAGTTTTCTGTGTTCAAAAATTACACCTATGTCTACAAAACGTGTGAACAAAATCTCCCTTTCTTTTTGTTAGTTTGTTAAATGGGAGTGGGTGTATTTTCTCTATAGTTTGAGAGGGGGGGGGTCTTTAAATACAGCAACTTTTTTTCTTTCTTTCTAAAGCGATCGTCATTCACTCTTTCAAGCTTGATTGAATTGGTGCGTTCAGAGTGGCTGTCGAGAGCCCTACTCTAAACGCATCTGAGTAATATATTTTCTATTCACGTAAAATTAGAAGATATATATTACACTTGATAATCATATTAAGTCACATTTCAACATAGTTCAAACAGAACTACAAAGATAGAAAAATTCAAAATTCTATATTAACACTTTAGTGAATAATGATAATTATACTCTTATATTGCAACAAGTTACACTCACTAGAAATACAGGATAAATATCTTGTGTATTATTGCACTTGGGGATGAATATATCCCAAAGGAAGGAAAGACCTAGAGAGGGCATCTTCTCCATGAACATTCTGCTTTACACCCTTACAATTCTTTGGTCCCTGCAACACAGCAGTACAACTTGCAACCGCAGAGATCCGTAGGTGGGCATTGGTTCTAATATATTGTAAGCAATGGTTGGCATGGCGAGGTGTAACAGGCTAGTTGACATGCCAACACCATCGTGGCTTGAGTCTTGGCAAATGCAATGTAGACTATACAAGGAGAAAATAATCAACTAGAGTTCGTAAATCAACCACTTCGTACAACACATTTTAATTAAATAAAATGTAGTCTATATAAAATCTACATTAAAATCAGAATATCTATAAAAAGAATGAAAAAAAAAAAAAAAAAAAAAAAAAAAAAAGGAAAGGGGAAGGAAAAAAAAAGAAAAAAAAGGAGAGAGAGAGAAAAAAAGAAAGGGTGGGACGGGGAGAGAAAACAGGTATAAGAAAAGCATAAGAGGATATCGAGAGTAAATACGAGTTAATCGAAGCCGATCTTCGATTAAGGAAAATTCATTGCTCTCAACAAGATGGGTCTTCATGAGCCATCTTCCCTGAGAGCAAAGGTTCAAGGATAACTTTCTCCATTATTTACAAGAATGAAAAATGGAACTGGAGAAAAATATTTCCTATTATACTAATGGAATGTGCACAATGAAGTATGGAGCACAAAATATATGGAATGACCTTAAGAACTACGTTATCTCTAGTGTAAAAAGCCATGGAAATCAGGTAAAGGATTATACTGGGATGCTAGGATTATTATTATTATTAGCACTACTAGTCAAATGAATCCTAAATTGGCCTCTGTAAGATATAAGAAACTCCTGCTGCAAAAGTCTGGTGAGAAGTTTCAGGGCGATGGCCAATTCAGACCCCATGATCTGACTTTCAACTTTTTTTTCTTTTTTAAACACACTACAGTCAAGAGGAAGCAAGTACAAACGAAGACAAGGAGGAAGTGAGGAAAATTTATACATACCCTAGTATGGTGTACCCAAAGCCGCAAAGAACCAAAAGCTAGTGACTGCCACAACCACCTTCAGAAATTCATTTAAAACAAGACTGTGGACTGACAGAGCATGACCCAAGGTGAGCTACTGAGCAACAAATTATTATTTACTGCTCCCCCAGAAGTACCTTTCCAATGCACCCGGTGTAATAATAATAACGAAAAAAAATTACCTACAGAAAGAGAAAGACCGTTCGTCCCATGGCTCCCAAACGACAGGTATCCGAAGTGGTATGTTGCATATCTCTCATGCCTTTACTCTTTTCAGTATAAAATGCATTGTTAGATTAAGAGAAATATGGGCACCACAGACATGTGACAAAAATGTGTGTCACACACAAACTTTCCAGTTATAAATGCCAATTAAAATCTTAGGAATTTGTATGTCCATATATAAGAATGTTGGTAGAAATATGCATTTTTTTTTTTTATATTGCTGATTTTTGTGTTAGTTTTTGGCTAAGCACTTCTCTCTAGGATTGCATGCAAATTTCTGCCGAAAGGGAGCCAGGTCATCCCTTAACACCTTCGAAGATGCCCGAGACTTACCAGTAATTCTCCCTTAAAAAATCATTGTGAATTTTAGCCACATATTAATAACCAAACTATTGAGCACCTGTCTCCCTGGCATTCCATAAGATGGCTCTTCACACATTAAAATATCACAGATGATGGTCACGAGATAATGCAATAATTATAATACAATAAAAACCTTATTCACTTGTTACACATACTTATCTTTGGATGCTGATGACTTGTTAACATAGGAAATAATTTATCTGCTCTTAATTTCGTGCAAACTTTTTTTTATTTATCATATTTAAATTGGTAATATGTGTAATAAATAAGTATTTCAGCCACGTACACCACAATTACAAATAAAAATCACTTTCGGAAAGACAGTACTGATTCCAAATCAGATCTATATAAGTCATGGGGTAGTTTTAGAGATCAACTCACTGCAGCGGAGTGAGGGTGAGGGGGGGGGGGGGCAAAAAAAAAAAAATAATAAAAAAATAAAGATACAAATGAATAAATAAATAAAGAAAAAAGTGGATCATTGACAACTGAGTATTATAAGGAATAAATATTAATATGTTAAAAGATGGGTGAAAAAACAAAAAAAAATATAGAAAATCAAAAATTAAAAATAAAATAAAAAGGGCACACTTTCTTAGTGTATATATATATAAAGAAAAGGTAAACAAAAAAAATGTACTTCTGAATAACAGATGAAGAATAAGAAGAAAAAGAGAGAGAGAAATAAAAAAACAAAAAACAAAATAAAACAAAGAAACGGCAAGAGTTTTAGAGGCGTGGTGCACGTGGCTGCCTGAGCATTAGGTTGAGAGTGGCTTGAGCACCGATGAGGCTCACTACTCACGCTATCACGACTAGGGTACGAAGAACAGGAAATTGATACACTGCGGCACTCAAAACGCACCTATTAGATTGAAAGCCCTAGAATCTGGTATTTAGGGCAACTTAATAACTATGATAATAAACTCATCATTTGAAAACATTCGTAGCAACTGTCTCCTCCCAAATTCTTCTTATGGGAAATCTGCCTACTATCTAAAATTACAGCATACTGCAGCACTTCTGAATGGTCTTGTCATTTCATGAAGCACTCCAACATCTAACAGTGAAAGTAATTCAACAATGATTATCTAACAGTGAAGGAAATTCAACAATGATGATTATAAGATAATAACACTTATTAGATAATACTAATGAATGATGAAATTGTGGACTGCAGCAATGACTGCCTACTTTCAAAGCCCATTCTGTAATGGGCAGTTTTATTTCCACAATGATGCTTTATGCTACATCAATCTTATGCATAACACCAGAAAACAACAGAACTGCAAAGGCAGGAATGTTATACAGTGCTTTCAAACTCAAAGTGCCAATGTGGCAGAACTAGTAATTATGATATTAAAAAGAATCTCTTAAAACAACATATGCTGAACTAATGTAACCTTTCTTAATTCATCTAAGTAAAGATCATAATCTCTAGTCTTGCCACAAGCAGAGAAATGAGCAGAAACAAAACTGTACGTTCTCATGGAGACTGTCCTATCTGCCACACAGTAGAATTCTTATGGAAAATAATAATAACGATAATTAAAAAAACGAAAAATGGTGGCAAGGGCTTGTGAACATCACTGGGGGTAATGGAGAGATCATGTAGTTACTGTGGGGTTATACAGAATAGGCACTTCTCAAAGAATAAATTAAGAAATGCACTGCCTTCCTCCAAAGGCACAATCTACCCTGTAAACTTCATTTTCAACTTGATACAAATCAATACGAATTTCATCAGGCACTGTATAAATGATTTGTTACAGAACAATCCATTTTTGGCCTATATACTAATCAAGATACTGGTATGCCTTGCATGGTGATGGCTAACTTGACTTCATCCAATGATCTTGCTCAAGACCCTACAGTCACAAGCCAAGGCACTGGTTGAGAACTCCCCTTGTCACTAGGAACACTGCCCTTTATGTGCTGAGATTAAATCTAGCATCAAGGACTTTACCTGCAAATCAGTTAGCGTATTAAGTGCATGACATAACTCTTCAAGTCTGATGCAGGTACACTAACTGGTCCCTGGTTCTTGAATCTATCTTGTGTTTCTGGTCTGCTGAATATAGGGAAAACCAACATTAAAAACACAAGATTCACTTATATTAATGATGAAATTGTAGCAGCATAGTATATTACTGATGCAGTTCTGCTGAAAGCAACACTCA